ATAAAAATTACTCGACATCTATACTATTTCTACTGTAGTTTCTATAAAATATGAAAATTTCCTAGCACATTTTCGTATGTGAAAAAGGTTTTATTTTTGCAAAAAAGAAGCAGTACTTGCAGTACTTGTAACACCCACCGAAATGCGTTGTCCTTCTCTATAAAAAAGTCGCAGTATATGGCGCTTTTGTTTCAAACAGCGACGCTTGGGTTTTTGTTTATGTTATCGCCTTGTCGTTGCTTGGTTGTAAGGATTCTAATTTGAATTAGAGTTAATTCGGTTTAGAATTAATTAGATTCTAATTCGGGGGTACATAGTGCCTACTCTTCTTTGTTTCCAAGTATTATTTTGCGCCACAAATGAACGGCAAGCGCCAGAAACGCAGCCAAATCTTGCGATTGCGACTACGAAATTCATTATTTTGGCCTCAGAGCCTGAAGCGAAAAATACAAGCATATTTATTTCAAAAAGACTTCAGGTTTGTCGAACGGTGTTATGAGAATTTCGATAACAGTACTGCATAAGTTTTTCAGTGATGCCGCAAAAGTGTTGTATCTATCTTCTTTTATTGTGCAGTCGGCGGGACCGATTCAAAATTGAGTCGTTGCTACTAAAATAGCAGCATATGGCGACAGATGATGAACAGGAAAAATAGTTGCGTAAATTTAGATATAAACCACCCCCAAACCATGAATATCTTTTGAAGGCACTATAGACGACCATTAACTAACTAGATGTGATGAAGATCAAATGTAATGAATACGCTCATTTTACAAAATTACATGCAAGTACCAAAAAGTGATGTAAGTACTTATTCAACGGTCATTTTCAGCGCTCCCCGCTAACGTGACTTCAAGTTGAGATATTTGCGGCAAGGTACCGAATTGAGCAAAATGGTTTTAATTTACATTATAACTTGTTGTGTTTTGTCAGAAAATGGTCCTAACTCAGATTTTGTGGGAAAAGGTCATAATCTCCCTTTAAAATTATAAATTAAGTTCAAGTTAATCAAATTGCATCATATCGCATATCATTCGATTCGGCTGATCACCAGGAACACAATGATACCACTTTTTAAGCTCTAGCGTCATTATGTGCCAAGTTATTGGCAAAAACGTCATTTGACCTCAGTTGACCTCATTTGACCTGACCCATGGATAAGTACACCAAACAACGAAGCACCAAGTGACCTGCTGTTAATTACTATGGATTCAAAGCACAAAAGTGATAGAAAGAAGTAGATATCTCCAGTATTTTCGGAATTTAGTATTTTCCCATAGGCTTAACATTACGACGTAATGACCTCTAACTGACCTCAGGTCCGTGACCTAAAAAAAACGAGCTATATGTTATACAACTCGGTGAATTTAGCACATCCTGAAAGTTTGAAGGAAATCAGTCCAAAACTGTGAGTTGGACAGGTGCAAAAAGAAAATTGAAATTTGACCATGACCTTGTACCGTTTTTTTCTGACCTGGTGACCTGACCCAAGGTCACCCGGACCTGAAATTTTCAGGTCATATGTAAAAAGGTTGCCCCATAGGCTGTGCCAAATTTAGCGATCTTCGAAAAACCTTAGGGGGGGGGGTCGCATCGACCCCCCCCCCCCTGCCAGGGCGAGGGTTAATGTCTCAAAAGGTACTGAAAAGTTAGCGTCGCTGCACACCGTTGTTTTTTCGCTATTCAAGAAAAACCACAGGGGGGTGGGGGCAAAATGGCCCCCAATCAGGGCGCGGGTTAACCCGCGCCGTGCTGGGGGGGGGGCGTTTTTACGCCCCCCCCCTCAGGTTTTTCGCGAATATCTCAAAAACGGCGGCGCGCAGCGCCGCCGTTTTTGGTACACGTGTTCCTACATCATTTCCGCACATGTTGTGAAAATTTCAGACCTAGGCCGTTCAAGGTCAGGTCACCAGGTCACGTCAAGTGACCTTACCTCAGAAAAAGTTCAAAGGCTCGCTATAGCTACACCGACTGAACGATCACTTTGAAACTTTCAGCGATTGATATGAGTAACAGTATGTATAAAATGTATATCTCGGATTTTTGATATCTGTGACCTAAGGTCAGGTCAATTTTGCGACCTCTCCATTATAAGTCAATGGGAGAAAATTGAAATGCGCCTCTTTTGGACGAATATCGTTCAAAACGCTCTCAAACATCGGTTCATAGGTAAACATGACACACTGAATAGGAAAAATGCACCTGTGACCCCTCTGTGTGCCCCTGAGGTCATCTCAGGTCATGAACGGTCGCCAGCAGTTTTTTGGCTATAACTTTTGATAGAGACGTGTTAGAGCGGTGAAAACACGTCAGATGTGTTCAGCTCGACGATACGGATCGACTGATATGCAACATGACCCTTTTCGGTCAGGTCATGACCTTGACCTGAGGTCAAATTTTCAAAATGACCTTTCAAGGTCAACGAATAGTTCATTCGACGCGTCTCGACGAGAGGAACACGATGCTGGCAAAAGTAATGTCATGGCTCTTATGAGTCAAAAGTTATTGACGAAAAAACGTTTTTCGTAAAAACGGCTATTTTTGGAGTTTTTGCCCTCTGGAGGCTAAACCGTTGACCTGAGGTCAAATCTGAGAACATTACTCAGAAAGGTCTGTAAAAGGGCTATCGAATGCGCTTTTCCGCGGCGCTGTAGCTCTATCGGTTCCCGAGATAGCCGTTGGCAGTTTCCAAAATGTTGAAATAGTCAACATTTTACCTTTGGTGACCTCTGGTGACCTGACCTTTGACCTGACCCAAAAAATGACCGAAGTGTTGTCGTCCTTATTTTTGACGCTCTTTCGATTGCCGCTTACCGCGTGTCGCTACGTGGCCCAGGAGCCGAGTTAGACGGGGGGGGGGGGCGTGAAAACGCCCCCCCCCCCCCAGCACTCGGCGGAAAGTTCAGGCCACCAGCACGGCGCGGGTTAATTTTATCACCGGAGCAATGACCCTGAAACAAACGCCCACACTTGACTCGGTGAGCCGGGCCATGTCCGACTGGTAACCATTGTCCTCCATATATTGCAATGCAGAAGAACCCCTGCCTGAAATCGGTCGCTGAGTGGGGCTGAATGTGCCCTGATGTGCCCTGACAGTACCCTGTGCCCTGCCACTGTCAGTTTGGGTTCGCGAGAGCTGAGAGCAGAGCGAGATGGCTACCGCCTCGGGAACGTGGCCAAATAAACGGATTCTGCAGTATAAGCAGAGGTGGCTATAGAATGAGTCGTAATAATTGGCTTTGCAGTTTTATAAGTCATGATCCTCAGTACTGCATTTTAACATTACATTACTTCAGACTCTGTTGTTTTTATTAGACGGTGTTTGTTGTTTCTTTGACCTTTTGCCTAGGAGATACAGCAGTTTGCGAGCACAGTGTTTCATCATGCGGCGCTGTGACGTCGGCCCTGCGGCAGCCGTCTGCTCCTCCTGCCCGCGGCTGCCATCCAGGCCAGCGCTTCGTGTCAGGAACATGAACTGGCTCATCTGGCCAGCCTGTGGGCGGCTGATCGCCCGACGGCCTCGTCTGGTGGCGCCAGATTTTAAAGATAGCGACCCCGCTACCGGCAGCGCGAGCTAAATCGAGTGAGTTGCTGAGCAAATGAGATGGAGTTTTAACAAATCAGAAGACACGAAAGGGCAATTTGATTCATTGGCATTAAAGTTGATTCGAACAAACTCGAATGGTGCCGGTAGCAGCCCTGGTGCAACTGCGCAGTCACCCTGCTGGCTGGGAGAGAAAAATAAGGAAAGGAAAGATGGAAATGATAAATAGAATGGTTTACTTATGTACACCAAATGTGGAAATAAAGAAACAGATACGACATCGAAAGAGAAAAGCTCATCTCCGTGTTCATGAGTGTATTGTAAGTCACTATACATTCTAATATTATATACAATAGCTGAAGCCATATGTGGGAAAATCCAGTCCCTACAATGGTCAATATACTGCGATTGTACTTGGACCTTGTGTGCCCGGTCCCATCAGTAGTAGCTGGCTCCCGCTAAGCGCGTCTTCCGGCTCACGGGACGCCATCGATCGAAGGCTCATGCTCGGTAACTGGCCCGGGCCGTACGCCACAGGAACGGATCATAACCTACCACGACGGACCGAACGCTGCTAAGACAGGTCCTCCTCTACTAGGATAGGCCGTTTGCCTTTGTGCATTGGCTGTATAGTGTATACCACTGGGACGGATTATATTACGATAAGATGTACGCACATCAATAGGATGCCATTGGACGTCGTCCCGCCCGCTTTTGAGACTGGTCGTACTTTTCTACGTAGAACGGACGTGAAGCCACGTGGTTGCTGAAGCCACGAACGTGGTTGCTGGAACCACGGACGTGGATGCTGAATCGCTCTCAGCTACCGCCGTGCCGCCCAGTGAAGAGGCCCGTGCTCACGCGACCGGCGTAGCCCTACCATCGACTACATACGTAGGAGCGGCGCTGTTGCACCACGTTCAGTCACCGGCCGGCGGCTCGATTGGCCGACCGAAGTTAGCGCTGTCTGCCATTGTGCCGGCCGTGGCCAACTTTGGGCGTCTTTGATTGGTTGCTTCTGCCCGGCTCCGAGCTGCTTAAGTAGTTTGTGCTGACTTAGCTCAGACCGAAAAATAGCAAATTATGCATTTGTATACTTAGGTGGATACAGGATCGGAGTTCGGCTGATGAGTGCCTTATCAGCAACGGATAGGACTTTGAAAGAAAAGCGCCAGCGTAAAGAGCATGTCTCTGTTGTTAAAGTTTACCGCTTACCAACAAACATTTGTAGATAATGTAAGAAAAAGAAACATCGCACGTTACAGATAAAGCAGATGTTGTATCTTGACACTGAACAACACAAAATGTCGCCACCAAGCACTGATACCGTTGTTCGTATCTCATCCCCTTCCGTGTTTATTTTCAGTATCACAGCTCGACCGGGTAAGACTGATCCTCTTCTGCAACCTAAGTTATGTTCACTGTTCACTGAGCTCCTTTTTTGTGTCTGTTTCAGAGTGTCCCCCGACGGAGGAGGGGATGGACCGGTTCGCGTGTCCAACGCCCAACATATACGATCGCTATCTCTGTATAGACGATCACTTACTCTGCGACGGTTATAACTCGTGTCCGGGGGGCGAGGACGAGGATCGTCGCAACTGCCTCTTCTATAAAACGGTGAGTGTTTGAACTGTATCAGCGGGGGAGACACTGACACCGATACCGAAATGATAATGACCCCGACACTGACACTGAAACTGATACTGACAGCGGCACAAACAGTAATTCCGACGCCAACACTGACACCGAGTCTGACACTGACACTGACATTGAGACACAGATCCCGACACGGGAACTAGAGAGAAAAACACAGACGCATTTTCAAGTTTCTAGAGCAGACTGGGATACAGGCACTGCTAGTGATACCGACACCGACTTTGACACTGACACTGACGCAGACGCAGAAGCAGAAACTAACACTGACACCGGCACCCACACTAAAGACGACACCGTCGGTACAAACACCGCACTCTGTGGCCAGGACGACGTGTTTGTAGGCAAACTGTGGCGTGTGTTTATAGCCGGTGGACAGTGTCTTTCAGTCATTTCACATGATTGGACGCACACGCACAAGATTGTCCGATCAATAGCGCCGACCTATAGCCTGGGTCGAGTGACGGTCCAGCCCCCCCCCCCACACACACACATCTACCAACGCCACTGGTCCCCCTTCCTGTGGAAGTAGGCAGCCCGTCGTTTCGCGGCACCTGGTCACCTCGACAACGCTCAGAAAAAGGAGCGATGTTGACTGGGACTCACTCAGAGTCACGCTTTTTTCGAGGCTCGCAACTTTTCCAGACCCTCCCAGCTGAACTAATGTAATGACTGTCCCTAGTGTGGCTCCATTTCGGTGTCTGTTTTCATTCCCGCGTAGTTCGTCCGTCGAACAAAAAGCAGAACAGGCGAAAATGGTGGACTCCGAGGAGCGACCTGGCACTCAGGATTCCTTTGGCGGCCATCAATGATGAAGTGGCATTTCTGGACGCAGCTGCAAAAACACACCCACACAAACGCACATTTATCAGAGTGGGCAGGCGCGATTTAGAGGGACAGCCCGAGGACATTGGACGGGCCCGTCCGTAAATCCGTATGCGGAGAGAATCCGTAAGCGGTGCTATCCTCCGCTGTCATGCCCTCGGGGGAGTTTTCGTCAGTCCGTGACACCCTGCGGCATTGGTCCTCGCCTTCTCCGCGTCCACTGGGAGGCGGCTGTCCGTATCCCAGCTGCCGCGGGCACCGGGGAGTCCGGAGGGAATGCGGTATCTCCAGACCAGAAATTCGCCCAGCAATATGCTCGCCGCTAGGCTAGTCCGTTTCCCATATGTGGCCCGCATACGGTGCCGTCTTTATAAGCGGCATATGATAATCGCTGGACAGGCGTGCGGCCCTAAACGGTCATAAAATATTCCACGATTAGGTAAATTATACGGAGCTTTTATGCATGCTCTAAGTGCATAGAAAATTGCCATACGTAGATAGCAATTAGCAGTTGGTCACTAGGTAAGTGCGTAGTTATTGCATGAGCTGTGGTGCAATACCTTCCCTGTTTTTTGAATAGCATACGCTGTTGATGCACTAAGTAGGTGTGTACTTATATACCTACAGTCTACCGTTTCAATTGCAACACACTTTTACACAAGCAATTGAATTATTTGCATGGTGTGTCAAAAGTGGAAATAGCCGGTGCGCCGTCTGGCAACCCGGCAGCCCGCCGCCATAGGGAAATTCATGCTTTTTGTCGCTTTTTCGCTCCTTATGAGTCACTTGATCTAATTAGAGCTTAACCCTCGCCCGCACATGCCATTTTGCCATCCTAGAACGCACATGGGGGGGGTGGTTGCCACCCCCCCCCCGCGCCATTTCGTTCCTGTTGGAGATAGAGCTTAGCAGTAAAGACCAAAAAGATTCTTTGGGAAGAGACGAATCCAATGATACCCAGTTTTACCTTCTCAGGTCAGTCATTGACCTTCCAGGTCAGGTCAAACTAAAAAATGTTGCTGTTTTGGGTCACCGTTGGATATCAAGTGCGCTGCTTATCAAATACCGATGACGATGCTGTTTTCTGGTGCCAAGCCAGCTAGAACCTCTTTGTCACACTATCCGACCAGAATTTTGCTGCTGAGGTCATTTCAGGTCAAGTTAGGTCAAGGTCAATTATATGTGTTTGTATGTCTGTGTGTGTCTGTGTGTATACTGATGTGTGCACCGATTGTTTTTGGGTCCATATCACATGAAATCATGATCTGAGAAGCTTTTACCAAAAATGCAGTCAAAAAACTTCACAAAAAGTAAATTCAGCTTGCCTAAAACGCAATTATCTTAGATGACCTAGGTTGACCTTGACCCTGACCTTGACCCCTGTACATCGTCGAACAACATGTTCCATGATAGGTGGGAGGTAAGACTGGCAAAAAAGGCCGAAATCAGGGTGTCAAAAGCTCACAAGGCCCATGGCAAACGCAAGATGTTGAGAATTGGCCATTTGGGTCATGACATGACCTGAAAAACAAGGTCATATCTCCGAAACCAAAAATCACAGAAACTTGAAATTTTCAGTGGACATCGAGAAAGGATAGACGAGCAGCTATACGAAAAATCAGCTTTCTAGCTCTAAAAATGTTGAATGCAGAGCAGAAAGACTGCCTGGGGGGGGTGGCAACCACCCCCCCCATGTGCGGGCGAGGGTTAACTAGGAACGAGGCGGGTCACTTGGACGTATTCGGGAGCCGAATGCGGTGTTTTGGAGCCAATACCTGGGGAACCCTATCCGCCCAATGCGAGTTTTTAAGAGTCTGCATGCCCAAATTAACGTTGAGCGCGGCCGTTTTCGGTCGGTTTTCCGCGACCTTGTGGCGAAATCGCCTTATTTATTCAACCAGGGTGGGCTAATTTGCTTAACTAGGAATGAGGCGTTGAAGAGAATTGTTCAAGGAATAGAGCTGTGCAAAAATATTTTTTGTATTTTTAAAACTGTATCCGCCCTCGAACGATAAATATTGTTGGCCCATTAGAAACACATCCCCTGGAATGCGTTTGGACTTGGCTGGATCTAATATTAGCGAGTATCTGCTAATGCAGTTTCTTGGCTTACACAGTACGCACACAAGCACACATACTTCCTGCCCTTGGTTATTCCTGACTTGAATGAAAATTTTGCTGTAATAACTATTCCCAGCAGTTAACAGGTTTTAGTGCAGTGCCAATTCGGAACCGTTCAGCGCCGCCATTCGGCGGCCGGCGGCGGCGCGGCGCCGCCGGCCGCCGCGCCGCCGCTCTGGCAGGGTGTTTGACTTTATATCTCTGTTGCTAGAAAAGTTGTGGACCGATTTACTTGAATCTTGCATGAAAAGATCCGCCATTCAATTCTTAGCAGGTAACGAAAATTTGACGTCAATTGCACGATCCGCTGCCCATATTGTAGTACTGCCATCTATTGACAAGGCTGGCGAACTAAAGCCGGGCGGCTATTTCCACTTTTGACACACCATGGGTCTGTTTAGCTTCACTAGCCAACAGCCCCAGGGTGAATAGTGAAGAAATTGGACCAGGTTGTAGGAAGCCAAATGTCAAACAGTCGCAGTCCCGGCCAGCTTCAGGCCCCCAGTCAGCAGTTGCTCATCCATCACATAACAGCACCCCAGTATACCTACCAATAAACGAAACCTGTCCTGCTGCTTCTGCGAAACGTGTCCCAGAAGTTGTCTCGCTGCGTTTCTCTGACTGGATCTTTCTCTCCTTTGCAGACCAAGTCACATCTGAATGTGCTGGCGGACGCGCTTCTCCGGGTCATCAGAGGCTGAGACCTGGAGCAGCGCTCAGGAAGACCAACGTCTCTCTTCTCCCTGCTGAGCCCCCGGACCTAGGTTAGCCAGCTCCGCATCGCCGCCGAAATCGTCTCGTCTTCTGGTACCCGTCGCCGCTGCCGCTGCCGCCGCTCTCGGTCGTCAGGCCTCGGAAGCACTGGCGTCGCGAGATCAGCATACTCTTCGTCAGAACGTCCAGCCGCTAGAGGTCGAAACGGTCCAACCTCAAGGGCGATATGGGCCTGACTGGGATGCAGTTCTGGCTTAGCGGACGTGGAGTGTCCCCAATCAGGTCGCGTTTCAACAGCCTATCAACGCTTATCTGCTCTACATGTATGTAGTTCTATCAACAACCTGTTAGCCAATGAGGCCACCATGTCGCCTGCCTTGGTGGCCCTGCTGTTGGGCCGCGTCTGTGAGGCTCAGCGCCGGTTCAGCTCCGTGGGTCAGCCTTCTCGCGCCTGTTGTCTGTCGGCCGCCCTCGCCTCTCCGGGTCGCCGCCAGAGGAGCGTCAAATCGGCATACGCATGCCCGCAGGCATTCTCTCACTCTCTTCAGTGCCAGGTGTAATGGGAAGAGGTTATCACCTCCTCCCGCGAGAAGGGGGCGCGTTGGGCGGGTCTGATGCACCTCCTATGCGGGCCCTGTCTGATCACTGGCATAACCAAGACGGCCAGTTCACCTGTGTGGGAACTGGGAAATATCTGTTACTGTTTCCTTCGAAAAATGGTTATTCATTCAATGTGAGCGTTTCAAGACTCAACAAAGCAATACTCGGGCAAGAAGGGGTCATATGGAGACGTAGGGATCGCTCTGGTGGATCCAGCCTTGTTTGCTCTGTATGAACTTGCATCTACAGCTTGCAGATATAACTGGTGACCAAACCCAAGTCTGATCAAAAACCTATTCCTCCTGACAGGAGGCAGATATGTGTGCTTGGGTACCCTAAATTACTCCACTGCACTTTTTCGATTCATATGCTTAACTGCCAGGTATTATCTATAATTAGATACAACCTCTATCGAACGAGCACACATGATTATAATCTATAGACAAATGTGCGTCTTCTTTGCTCGTGTCTCTAATGTATGCGATGAAAATTTATTCATTATTAGTGCAATAATGCCACCAACATCTGTTCGCTCAACTCACCACCCTCTTTGATGCTGATAACAAGGTGCTTTTACGACGTTGCGTGTAATAGGTTTTTCGCGAAAAAGCTATTTCGAGCTAACAAGATTCATTGAACGATGTTTAACTATGTCCGTACACTTTAAACTAGCACTCAGGACTATCATCAGAAAAATATAATCGGACACACAGCATTAGGACGTATTCTACGTTAATGACGCTATAAAAGCCACCGCTACCACGAAACACTGCTGTAGCTATGCTATGTCGAGTGCTAAAAATGGCCTTTGCTCGCTAATATCACTGTAGACGAAGTAATTAACACATTGAATATGAACAATGGGGTTATATACGCTTGTATCAGTATGCTAAATCGATGAAATACTCCAGCTCATGGTAGCGACACTTTGTCCCGTCAAAGCATCAGCTATTATTGTCATTATGACCGACTGCGACTGTCTCAGGATTTCTTATTCCCCCCCCCAAAAAAAACTCTGTTTCAACTGTTGTTGAACGCCGCTTGGCGCCCTCTGGTTGCGGGTGTTGAAGGCTGAATCTAGTTGAACCGAGTCACAGTCTGAGCTGAGTCTGAGTCGGGTGTCGGCTCGTGCTTGTGTGAGCTTCTCAGTGAGATCGTTCTGAAAGTGGCGTGAATCTGCTGGGTCGAGTGCGTTCTGCAATGACTCGTGCTGTCCAGCGCGAGTCTCTGCGGCCGTCATACCGCATTTGTTTGCCGATTTCACTGTTTAGAATTAATTCTGTGTGCAATTTGGGCAGGATATTATTGTGGATAAATAAATCACGCTAATAGTACCTGAGGCATTCAGTAATAATTGTAATTGCATTGCTGCAAGTCTTGCTATTCATCGCCTTTGGTTTCTATTTTGGTCCATGTAGTTTGCGCGAACCACTAAAGCTTGAGGTTAGAAGGACTATGGCACGCATTTTCCGTTTGTTGAAAATGAAATGATCGAATTCTCCTTCGCCATGGAGGTTTGTTTCAGCGATCTCAGTTTGTGTCTCATTTCATGGATTGTTCACGTTGAAATGTGATGTTCATCTCGGCTGATGTACCGTCATTTGTGTACATTTGTGACATCGTCTTTGTATATAATTCTCTGTCTCTCTTTCATCTTCATTTGCTGCTGTTCGGTCCGTCTGTACGTCTGTCGTTCGGTCGCCGCGGCAGCCCTAAGTTGGCGCAGTGTCTGGTGGTCGCTAGCGATGGTCCCGTTCGGATCTCGCTGCCGCTGTACTGAGGGTCGCTCGCCGCACGCCGGCGGGCTCGTGCCGCCTGCCGCCGACCGGCCCAGCTCCACACGAGGGCACAGCTCGACACGAACGGATAGCGCGGGCGCCCGAGACACGGCGCCCACGTGACCAGTGGGGTCGTCTCGACCTGCGCCCCGGGCCGCCCGGCGCCCGGCACGCGGCGCCCGCCCGGCAGGCAGCCGGCGCTGGCGGCGGCACGACACCGCGCCACGACGACTGTGCCCCGTCGCGGCGCGCCCCGCGGCGCCGCCCCCGCCCCCGCCCGCGCCCGCGCCCCGGCCCCGGCCGTTCGCCGCCGACCGCTGAGCGGCTAGCACGCCACAGCTGGGACCGCAAGCACGCCACCACTGCGCCCAGCGGCCGGCCCCGGGCGGTACCTTTGTCGATGCCACTTGGGCAAATGAGAGGATTAGCCGTCTGGCCGGTCGGTGGACGGCAGCTCTGCCGGCAGCGCTGCGCCTCTACTCCGGTAGACAGGTGCACGGCCGGCGGCCGGGGCCGGGCCCGCCAGCGCGCCCCAACAGCGACCCGCTCTACTTTGTCGCCTGTAACCTGTTCCTGTGAACGTATATTTATATAGTATGGTGCCGAGCGCAGTTGTCTGATGTTTAGCTGTTATAAAGTGAGCCGCGTTGCCCAACTGCGTGGCTGGCGGCGATTTATGAGATTGGTCACGTGCCGTGTTTATTTATATACACGTGTTGTTGCTGAAAACTGAATGACACTCAGTCGTTTGGATCTATTATCCACATTTAGAAATGCATTGGCTCATCGACGCCTGTGAATCTATGATCAATACCTAGCGCTGGAGTCAGAACTGGACGCCGTCAAAAAAAGCGTTCATCTCTTCCTACTATTTTCATTCCGGTCGGAGGCATACCAAGGAGCTGTTTGAGCGAGTTGTCTGTGCTGTAATATGGCGTGCAACCGTATCACATGAATATATAATATATTTTTCTTTCTGGACTGTCTTGTGTGCTGTTTTGCCATAAAGTGCCAACTAGTTGGGGGACCACACGCGCGGCGTACGGCCACCGGTGGTTCATCATGGCCTGTAACGACTGCTCACGGACGGCCGCGTCCTCGTGACTCGCGCGCGCGGCGCATGGTGAGCGCCAGTAACACTAATCGACGACCGGCATGGAACATGCATCGACTCAACAGCCGGCCGGCATCGATCGCCGCTGGCGTGGGCGGCCGGTGGTTAACTGGTTGGGGGCGTGCCGCACATTTGATATCACCTGCATTTGTGACGAGCGCCTGCGTGTCCCGGCCAGGGGAGGTGTGGGTGATATTCTACCATAAACAACAGTACCTCAAGGGCGTTATTATCCACGCGGTCAGGAAGATGCACGATAAGATATAACCCATAAGTTTTGGATAATCCATTATGCTTCCCTATACATCACCCAACCATTAAACCACCAACATAACAACCACCTGAATAGCAATCCAAAACACGACGGACGCATACACTCACATGTTCACTAATGCACGCACTCACGCACGAACACACCCACGCATGCATGCATGCACGCGCGCACGCACGCAATCACTCACCCACTCACTCACTCACTCACTCACTCACTCACTCACTCACTCTCTCACTCACTCACTCATTCATTCACTCACTCATTCATTCACTCATTCACTCATTCGCTCACCCACCGACGCGTTCACCCAGTCACACATTATTCTCTAACGATAATAATTTACGGTTCATGATTTTATAACAATTTTAGAGTAGCATATTACAAAAAGTCATCGCTGCATTTACTTTCTCAATATCCCTAGTAAACGTATTTTTATAAGGGTAGCCAGATTGGACATTTGATAATACTTTGAATGCTATTTTCAATATAATGTAAAACGTATATTATTTAAAACTCTTTACGAGTGCAGTTGTGTAGATCAATTGCTGACAGTAATGCACACGGATGCGACATACATTACCTGCTAGGCCCGGTAGACCATAAAAGTTTTATTTCTTCTTTCCGCAAGTTCACCGGAACGCGTGGAAAAGTGGGGTGGACATTTGAGTACCTCATAATAAATACATTAGAGCATGTCTGAGCGCGCCTTGTCGTCTGATAGACATTATACTGGGTTATGTCTTAGGGGTGAGTGGAGACGCCATGGGTACCCATTGGCAACGCTGGTGATGTCCTTCGTCAAAGGTGTGCAAACGGCACGACTAAAACGCCGAAGAGGACAAATTCGAGATAAAAGACGGCTGGGCGTCTTGAAAACTTCACGTCTCACTAGCAAAATCTCAGCTTAGAGTATCCACTTGTAGATAATAATTGATGTTGTATATTATAAGTGTTCTGGAGCTAAGGGGAGCCGTGCTCCCCTGTCCCCCTGCTCACAAGCACTTGTGGCAGGGCGAAGGTTGATATCCGCAACCAAAGCTAAATTTTAGTTAATTTATTAGTTATAACGGGAATAAGGGGAAACCCGGCTACTGATGGGATAGTCCGTTCTGCCGAGGGCCATTGAATCCGAGTTAGCATAAAGACGAGTCTCTGAACAGGCCCACGTATAAGCATATTGGGTGCATCCAGTGATCGATTTTGATAAGGCGTGGTAGCATTTTACATCTGAGGTGCATTTTACGCCATCCACAGCCACTCACGCAAGAAATGGGTGGCTTTATCACGATTGGAGGGAGTTTTATGCACCGGTTGTATAGTTAGTTTTGTTTGTTTTGGACAGTGTTTTACTATATCTACTACTTCATAATGAATAAAAGCATATGGATACATCCGAAATTACTTTATGAAACCGGTTGGACGTAAAATACAACTAAAAGGGTAAACTAAATTGCACCAGCCGATATTACGATTTACGCCCCTATGTTAAATCAGCTGGAGACTGAGCAGTGAGCACCGACCAGCGTGACCTCACGGGGCCATTCGGTTTCCTTCCGTTGGCGGCGTTGTTGCGTTAGTGGAGAAGCAGTTCCGGCGCCGCACGAGGTTCCGGAGCTCGTTTACGACCGCCAAATATTTAAATCCAGCCGTTAGGTAGGCTTTAACCCGCGCACCGACGCACTATGGTTGGAAACGGCTTTACGGATGGCCGGGGGTCAACGCGAAAAAATGTTTTGCCCATAACTTGTTAATGCGTAGACCGACTGCGATGAAACTTTGCATAGGTATACCAGTGTCTTTCGTGCATCATGCAGTAACTCAGAAACGACGAGGTCACGTCACGTGACGCGTGTGTGACGTCATCATTGCAAGCATGTTATAAGTCGCCTATGTCTTTCGTAATGTTATCGATATCGCGAGGCATTTTGAACATGTTTTGAATACTGCTACACTGAATGGATATTGTTGTTATGCTTTAGGGCGAGAAATTTCAACGTAGTGACGCACAGTGTCCTACTATTTGTCATAAAGGGTAAAAAATTGGAGAAAAAATATTAATGATTTTTTTTAGATTGGGCAAAAGTAAGAAATAAAATGACGATCAAAATGACAAAAAAATGCGTCTGATTAACCCGGCAGTTGTTGGGGTATTTCCCCACCCACTGTTTGCCGGGGGGGGCGTTCAACGCCCCCAGCCGATAACTCGAGAACCAATAGGCGCAGCGAAACGCACGAGGCGGCAAACGAAAGAACGCGACGAGACGATTCAGATGAATACTTGAAAGTTGAATTTCGAGGTCACCGGTCGGGTCAAGGTCAGGTCAAACACTTGAAATCAGGCTTTCAGTAGCATGGACTTTAGAACCTCGCAATCGGTGCCTCTCGTCATAAACTCTGTCACAACTGTGCACAACCCTTCATATAAGTGCTAAGAGAGTGTCAGATCCATGTAGGGGCCAGTCAAACATAGGCCAGGGTCAAAGTCAGGTCAATCAGGTAAGCACATAACGCCGAAAATTAAAACTGGTACCTATTCGCAGCCCACGACACATGTTTTATGGGTACTTTTGGGCGTAGAACACGATGGTGACATTCATTTTATCATACAAGTACGTATTTAGTTGAAAAAAGATCAATTTCAGAAATGCATGCATCATGGTCGTGAAGAAGTCAGAAGAAGTGAATAAGGAATGGCCAAGATTCAGTTCAAGATTTTGGAAAATGTAGAACGATGATCAAAAATCATAGACAGCCATTGGATTTGCCATGGTATTGGCAGTGTAATGGCTTTTAGAGCATGTCTGTATGTCTGTTCTGTCAGTGGATATCCATATCTATACTCCAGGATATCCATACACGTTTGCACGATATCCATACTCCAGGTGCAGGGGCGAGCAGTTACTTCTTACGAGGGGTGCGGAGTCGAAGTCAGAGTCGGAGTCAGAGTCGGAGTCGGAGTCAGAGTCACCCAGAGTCGAAGTAACGAGCCAGGAGTCGGAGTCGGAGTCACAGTCGGTCAGGAGCCCGCAGTGGAAGTCGGAGTCGGTAGGAATCGGAACAGCTCCATCACGACTCCGAAACATTGGCAGGGGTCCGGAGTCGGATACGGAGTCGCCCGGAGTCATGTCAACGAGCCAGGAGTCGGAGTCGGAGTAGGAGTCGGAGTTGGTGCCACCACGACTCCGCAATCCTGATTCTTACCATCACTTATTAGGATAAGCCATTGCACGACTGACGAACCGACCTGCTGCTAACGAAGCGACGGGTAGGTACGCCTCGGGAGATGAAGCTTCACAGAAGATTTTGCGCAGAAGTGCGCAGTTTGCTTTTAGGTTCCCCTTACGCAGAATTGAACAGAGATTTATTCTGCCAAAAAGCTCAATGGAGGTCGATGGAGAACTTTTTGTATGTCCAATGAAACATAAACGTAATTTTGCAAATGTTGCTGTAGTGACACTGCAAACAGAATGCAATGCCGTTCCTGATTTTGAACACGCATGGGGAAAAGAGTCACTCCACTCGATAGCCAAGATAACAAGGATTATTTTGATATATAATAATCCAGTTTTACAACGTCATTGAGGTACTCCACATGCTATCACCAGCGAGGTTGTTTAAACCTTTGACGGCGCACCAAAAAAGCCACTATCAGAAACTCCCGATTACACGTACGATAATGAAGACTAAATGCGCAACTAAATATTTTTTTCTGCCCAATTCAAAACATTTCATCAATTTCCAACAGAATGACACCCCAAATGTACATATATTCCGAAATTGCCCAAGGCCATCCGTGAGGCCGTTTCCAACCATAGTGCGACGGGGGTCTGCGCCAACTTAGTACCGACGGGGGGGGGGGCGGATGACCGCCCCCCCTGAGATCTCGAGAACGAAGCAAGATAGCGACAAGCGGTAAACGGCATCGGATACGCACGGACAAGGTCTACAATTTTTACTAAGGTCATTTTCAGGTCAGGTCAAAGATGACGTCACAGGGGTCGAAAAAGTCAAAATGGCGGCGCTAGATATGGAGAGGGTTTTTCTCGAATAACTTTCGAAGTAGTCAAGATAGGAACAAACTAAGGGCATCATCGTGATCCTCTCGTCAATCCGCATCGAATGATATATATGTTGACCTCGAAAGGTCAAGGTCAAAGGTTGACCTCAGGTCACGTGACCTCGAGGTCATCATGTATATCATTCGATGCGTCTTGACGAGCTGAACACAATGAGACCATCCGCGCGGCTGTATCTTGTTCCTGTAAGGAGTTATTGGCAAAAAACCTTTGGTGACCTTTGATGACGTCACATGACCTTACAGCTGCCCAACAGCAAAACAGACCTCAAGGTAGTGAAGGTTGATCGTATGTGAAGTCATGTATGGTATATGGGGCCATTCCGACCCGTTTTAGTGGTAAAAACAGGGAGTTGATTTTTCCCCCATTGACTTATAATGGGGAGGTCGCGAAATTGACCTGACCTTAGGTCACCGACATCAAAATTCCGAGATAAACAAATTGTAGCTACTAATGACCTAATAACATCCTGCGACTTTCAAAGGCCTCCGACATCTACTGTAGCTCTGGCACGGTGA